ACATCAGCAAAAGGGGAGGGAGGAGGGGGTGCAGTGTTAGTTGGTAGACGGGTAGGGCAGAGATGAAACGTTTTTACCTGCTAAAATAATGTGTTCAAACCATCCTTTTGAGCATCTTTTATATTTCAACTTATCAGTGGTAACACCAGACTCGGTTGAAGGAGGTTGTATCACCATCCACACAGTCAAGTAACTCAAATACAGCAATATCATGGCTGACAGCCTCTTCAATAATACGTTGTCTCCTATGGCCAGCTTACGAGCCGAGCGTACCCGGAAAATCAACACCACTCTGGATCGTGAAAAAAAAGTAACAGTTTAATGGATTACGAAGCCTGATAACTTCGAAATTTATCCTCGCCCGCGTACGTAACTGGCGGAATTTTGCGCGCGGGTGTTTTGGTGTAGTGGCGCAGCTTCTTACGAAAGAGGCGAAAGCCGCGAGAAGAATGGTGAGTAGTCAAGTTTGAGATCCCTCGCGAGGCTGACATTTTCACGAACGATGATGCCTCGAGGGGCTTCGCAGCTCGCGAAAAATCTCTCGCAGCTACATGCCCTGTGTCAGCGGCCCAGCCAGGAAAACAAAGCTTTTGCGGAAGAAACCGTGCCAGCTATGCAAGTTAATTTATCCTCAAGGCTGCCAAAGTCGAAAAATCAGCTCAGTTTTCTTTCTCAAGATATATACAAAAATACCGGGTACAGCTTTCAATTAAAATTAAAGTTTCGCATTTGAAGGTTACCCACAAGTATTTCATCCATATGCCTATCCAGATGCACTTTGTGCATCGTTGTAAACAGTACCACGTAAAAGTACTGCTCTATAGCTTTCATTTGGATGGTCATACTCTAGTATTAAACTCCTAAATATATAACTTTCAGTTAAATGACAACAGGCGACTTCTAAAACATCTGTGTGAAATGCAGAATGATCACCTCCACGTCTTCAGCGCCAAGGAACCGTAAATCAGACAGAAGCCCACATGTTTTAGCCAAGGCTCTAACACACAGCGTACTTTAGAAGGTGTGGGGAACGACACAAGAAGCTGAAACAGAGGAAAGATTATTAGAAGTAAGAGTAGGCTTTCAGTTTGTGGGAAGCCCATGTGTCAGGGATACTCGACATCTCGCTCAGGGGTGTAAATTACAGGTTTTGGTATCACGTGGGATGAGCAAAATAGAACGCACACGTTTTCAGGCATTAAGATCTTAATTTTAGGGCTGTATTTTG